CCCCAAAACCCCAAAACCCCAAAACCCCAAAACCCCAATGTTTAATTAATTATTGAAATATGTCAAGTGGTTTCATACCTATAATGAAAATGAGTAAGAACTGAATGTCTAGGAGATATTTTTAATGAAGCTTTTGAGAAAGACTTTAGGAAGAAGCATAATGTTGCTTCTAAGAACAATTAATTTCGTATTAATATCTTCTCCATATATTTATTCCTAATCGAAACTTTTTGTGTTGACCATTCAAATACTGAAATGGCAACATATTCTGGGGTGACAGCACTTAAATATGATTCCTTGCCTTGGAATAGAGATATTTAAATATGTCTTCTAATTTTGACTTTATAGAGAGCATCAGTCGGATATTAAGAACAATAATATGATTTATGTATCTCTATTTCGATAGTAAAAGTAAGCAATTCTTCATAACAAAACCCCTTATCTTTGAATAAATACAATTTAATATAGCTAAAAATGAATTGATAAACTTCACTATCTTTTCAATAATACTCATGCCTGAAGCCATAATCCACAGCACTAACAAATACCTACACCTCCGATTTCCTTCCTTACAGAATCCCCCACCCAACAACCTCTTAAAAGTAAGCTTCCATTCCAAAACCCTCTCTCAAACCCTATCAAATTATTCACTCACCCCATAGGCATGAACATTAATGTTCAAGAACTCTTCAGTACTCTTGGCTCCTTTTACAAACTTTGATCTGAAAATAACAGAACTGTTCTCAATCTTCTTTTGGAATTATTCAGACGTGGAAGAGTAAGTTATTAAGGCTGTAATATACTTGCAAACCCTGGGCGAGCCTACTGGCTCGCCCAGGGTAATTATATTATGAACTATCAAACTTATTTTCTCATTACTAAATCCAGTACTGATTCAGGATGAATGCTAAAATTAGTTTTAGGCAGAGTATAAATTTTCAGGAACCTGAAGAAAAGAAGACATCAACTAAAAGCTCATCGAGCAATATTTTGAGCAATGACACTGGAGAAGGTAGCCCGTGTTTATTTTTGTGGAATTTTTACTATTTTATGTTTTTGAAGCAAATATCATAAATTTGCACGATTTGGTGGAAACAACTTAAACTTTTATTATTTTACCTTAAATTCCAAAGATATATTCCACTCTAAGTGGACCCTTCTGGTTCATCGCTAAAACTTTTTTAAGGTTAATAATTTGCTGTTAGCCGACCAGAATTGGCATAAAATTAGAATTTAGGTTTGGGACTGCAAACCATATTCGAACCTGTTTTAGCCAGTTATTGCACTATTTGAAAATTTACTACACTTTTATTTCCAGATATCAAAACGAAAAATTATAGAAATTTCTCCAGATTATGCAAAATTTGATTCAAATGGGGAGATTTTAACACAGCATATAGGATGTGAGATCTGTAAAGACCTCTTACAGTTAAAGAGTCCAAGGAGTGTTGATAAAAAGTTTGTTCTACTATCCACTACCTTCATCGCTCTCTACATGTTGAAAATACTTCTTAACGTACCATCCTACAACCTACAAGATCCCCGGAATTCAGTGATACAATTTCTCCAAGGTCTTGAGGGAGGGCTCATCTTGTTGGAAATTTTCACAAGAGTCAAACAATATTCAGACTACTCCATTCCGAATGTAAGAAATTTTTACGATGAAAGTTTTCATCTAAAATTTTACAAAATTAAATATTTTAGGTTATCATAATTAGAACTTGATTTTTCTGACAGTTATACCTCTCACGAATGTTTTCCGACAATAAATTTTAAGCAACCATAATTCACGATGCTAACACTCCATTTATTTTTAATAGAATACTAGATTTTTAACTATGAATATGGAAGTCTCTGAGAAATTTGCAAAGTATCCAATTTGCTCAATTTCTTCTTACTTTAATTAAGAGATAAAAAATTGATTAAAACAGTAGATATATGCTTATAAATATTATTTTAAGCTTCCCATGAGACTTGCGCAGCTGTATTGCATTTTCAAGAGACTTTGCTTTTGGACATCTTTCTTACTGGTTTAATAACATTTTTAGTTGAAATTTGTCCGAGTCAATTTCTTTGAAATATTATCTCAACAAATATTGTTAGTTTTAAGTACTGAATAGATCCTGAACGAATGAAGATTTTTAAATCCTAATTTTTACTATGTTTGTTCACTTCAAGCATTATAGTTGGTCATGAAAACCCTCAATAGGAAAAGAAAAGGGCTGAATCAGGACCAATCAGGTGCAATTTTGTTAACCAAAATTCGCACAAATAAACCTATGAGATCGAAGACAAATGGCAATAGCATGCAATCGTTTGTGTTCCATGGGAAGGAGAAGATCTCTCAAAGCGAAATCAGTGGTAATCTCCTTAATAATTTCAAATAGATGAAGAAATTGAAAATATCAAAATGGAAGAGAAAAGTTTGATGAAGCCTCCAAAATTAGCAGAGACACCTATCAACATTCTTGAGAAGAACAGTCCTTCTCAAAAATCTCCTGAAGTGGTGATTTACCCTCAGAGCAGAAATCTGAAACATTTGAGTAATCATCAACCCTTGCATCGTTTTTACTTTATGAAAATTGTTAATTTGGAACAATAACATAAGTTCTTTAATCAGTAGCAATATTATTTAGAATTAGATTTTAGAAATAATGCAGAAATATTATAATTCAATCAAACTAGCTAGACTACTGCCATTATTAACTTTGCCAACAGTATGGTCTTACAGAAGATAACTTTTCTGATATCATCATCTGGTTAGTATCTGAGCTACGTCTAGCTCTAGTACAAGTTACATTGATTCGGTTGTTCTACTTGAACCAGAACTGAAGTAATTTGTGCCTGAGTTACGCCTAGTTCAGGAATGTATCAGAATATTGTGCAATGTAAAGCATTTTCTATAAAACAAGAAGAAACATAAGTTAAAAATAGACATCCTTACCAAATATAGAGAATAAAGAAATCGCCAGAAGCAGAAGTAATGTTTCTAACAATAAAGAGAAAGAAAAGGCAAACCCACTCAAAATCAGACCAGCTCGGCTTTTTAAGAAGAAAACTGACTGCTTGAGACTTAATGATCGTGTGCCAGACTTAGTTGGGAAAGAGCTTACTGTTGCTGAAATTTCAGAAAAATGTAAAAATATTCTAATTTGTTCAATGTCGCATGAACTCAGAAGTCCTGTAAATCATATAAATGGTATTTTAGGTAAGTCAAGCTCGATAAGGGTTATGTGTTGACACTATTTTTTATAGATATTCTGAAAAGCTATATTGATGATGAGAAATGCCTTAAGTTTATTAACATTGCTATGAGTTCAACAGAAATGCTAATGAGTAAGATAAGCGATATTCTTGATTTCTCTTTATTGGAAACAAATACATGAGAGCTAAACCCGATCGCATTTAACATCAGAAACATGTTACTCCATATCGAGGATATCTTGAACCTTCAATTTGATCACAAAATGATAGTATTCAATACTTATGTTCATGAAAGAGTTCCGACATTAGTGTATTATGACTACAAAAGACTCAAGCAGATTCTGATCAACCTTACTTACAATGCTTTGAAATATACGAAGAAAGGATTTGTGTCAGTTACCATTGACTGCAAGCCTATAGAGGGTAAACAACTTTCGTTTACTTCAAAATTATCAAAGGGAGAAAATCAGTGAGAACTTATTTTCTCAGTAGCCGATTCTGGCTGTGGAATAGAGAAAAAGAAGAAAAACCAATTCCAACTGTTCTCAAGTCTCAACATCAAAAACACCGACATCAAGAACCATTCAGATATGATCAAGTCAAGTGATTTAATGGGAATTGGACTAGCTTTTTGTCACAAGATGCTAAAAAAAATGGATTCTGAGCTTCAGCTCTCTTCCATAAAGAACATTGGATCAACTTTCTCATTCAGATTAATTGCAAACTACCAAAATTATAGTGAAGACCCAAGAAGCGCTAGAGAAATGCTATCAGATAAGATGATCCCTCATAAAATATCCGAGAAGGGAACTCCTCAGAACAACTATGGTCCAACATTGAATGTAGGCCCATTCCCTTCTTTGTATCAAAATAGCTCCACTCTTAAAACAAAGAGATCTTCTTCTGTTTTTCAAAATGAGCTTCTTTCGAATTCAAAGTTGATTTGTCAAAGGATGACTCTAAAACCAATTGATGAACAGATTGAAAACCAGTAAGAATGATCCTTTTAGAATCGTTCTTTCCTCTAACAGTTCTTTCATATAGAGCCAGAAGCTGTCTGAAAGATAGAAGAAGTAGGAATTCTTTTTATTTTTTTAGGAAAAGGGAATCTTCATATTGAAAATAACAGCCAAACTGCAGGTCATGAAGTACAGTGCATTCCGGATCAGTTCAAGTTTTGCCAGATAAACAGTCCAGGATGGTACCTCAAGAATATAGTTAACTGTAACGAGAGTATAAAAGACTTCAATCAGAAAGTCAGCATTTTTGATAAACAGCAACATTTTAATGAAAGAAAGGAATCTTTTAATATTTCAGAAGCTTTCTTAGATGAAAAGTTCTCTTTTCCATCTAAAATGTAAGGATTTATCTTATCATATTAGTAATCCAATCCCAACATTTTTGAATTCAGTTAGAGAAGGCAGATCTCACAATAATGAATATGATGCCAAATTCTTCTCAAATAGGATGCCTTTAGAATCAAGTGTTGAACTAGAGTAAAGTTATTCTGAGAATTTGTAGAAGAACGCCAAATAGAGCAATGATCGAAGAAAGCAAAGAGATAGAGATAAACCAACTTGAATTAAGAAGTAAATCTTCAGAACCAGATAAATCTCCACAGAACTTTAACCCTTCAAAGTTCAGAAGAGGTACCAAATATCTAAGCTGAATGTCCTCAGGGACTGTTTTGGGTATAAAAACACCAAAGAATAGGAATAATGATGCAATGAATCCTAAAATAATCAGGAGGCACCCACTAAAGTCAATTAAAAGCGCTTTTAAGAAAAGCGGAGATGATCGTAGTTCTCATTACTCTAAGAATATCAGGTAAGCTTAGGTAGCTTTATTAAAAGATTACTCTAAACAGATTAAAGGTCTCACTTAATTGTATAGACATATGCATTCGAATCAACTTTACAGCGACACAGAGAAAATTTCAAAGTTAATTCATACAGAATGAGGTTGCCCACAGATATTAGTTGTCGATGACCAGATCATCAATAGAATGATTTTAGGCGAATTCGGTATTTTGACTTTCTCAACTCTTTAGGCTTACGCTTCGGTGTAATCTCGGATGAAGCTGAAAATGGGCAAATTGCAGTGCAAATGTATAGCAAAGTACAATCTTTTACTCATCTTTAGAGTTGTCAAAGAAAATGCTGTGGTCCATACAAAATAATCCTCATGGACCTTAACATGCCAGTGATGGATGGCATTAGAGCTACTTCTAAAATCATGACTGTAAAAACAGTCTGACAAAAGCCAAAAGTTATTGCAGTAAGTGCCTTCTGCTCCAAGGAGGAAATGGAGAAGTGTGATAAAGTTGGAATGTGAGATTTTAAGCCTAAGCCTATTGACTCTGAATGCTACAAAGATCTTCTTATTGAGCATCTGTCAAAAGCACAGGTTATTAAAAGAGAAATTTAAAATTTAGTGAATTATTAAAATTCAATTTTTGAATGCACTTTGGGGTTTTGGGGTTTTGGGGTTTTGGGGTTTTGGGGTTTTGGGG